GCTTAAAGGATCTAGACGTTGGATTTAATCTCAACAAGGTTTGATATCATGAATCAAGGTATTTATATCTAACTATTTATTTATACATTATAGAAATGTGAAAATCATGAAGTTCTAAAATATGGGATTCATGTAAATTTGTGATTAATGGCTTAACACGAATTATTAAAGTTTACAAAGCTTGCTTCAATCATCCTTAAGAAGGTCCTCAGATCTGAGTCTCATTTCCACATAACAAGAAATCTATAGCCTTTTTCTGCAGGCTTGTTCTACCTTTCATGCTCAAAGCTGATTGGTAAATTGAGGTACATAACGTATGTTATTGTCACTTGGCTGTTAAGGGTGGGGTCGTTCACAAGGATGGATAGAGAGTTTAAGATGTTTGATTGTCAAGGGTGAAATGGGGCATCCACTTTGTGTGTTGCTGCTAGTGAGCTTATTGTCACGGGCCTAGAGATTTGGCGTAACGGCACGGCCTGTGCGGCACTAAGGCGTTGCTTCAGCTCGCACAAGTGCCCTGGTCAGCCACCACGACCTGCCCTTCCAAGATACATACTGACTGGTTTCGACCTGCCTTGGCTTCGTCAGGGGAACGGCTCCAGCTCTCGACCAGTTTGTGCAGGGATGGCCAACTCCCTTCTTCATAGTCAAGTCCACGACCAGCGACAAGCTCCTCGCACTCAACTGAGTCGACCTACCTGAACTCTGAAGAAGTTCCATCCTCTGTTCCTGCACGCCCCTTCCCTGGAACCATTCCTAGTCAAACTCTGCTCTTTGCCAACCAGCATGCGTGTTTTCCATCCTCCAAGCGTTTTAGGAATCACTTCGTGACACTCTCCCCCACCCATGTCCTGCGACGCCCTCGTCGTAGTACAGCGCTTCACTACTGCGTCCACTCCCTTCTAAAGTCTGCCCCCATGCGGTATGCTTGCCTTTCCACCATCGCTTCCTTGTGCAGCTCCCTGCACTACACTCACCCAATGATAGGCCTCGGACTAAGGGGACGTCCACTTCTCAAGGACGTGACTCTTCTCCGTCATGTCGCCTCCGTGACATCCCGAGCAAGCAAGGGCCTCCTGCCGACTTGATGTTTTCCCTTAACCATGGTTTGCATCACCCAAGGACTAAGCATGAACTTTGGTACGTGTGGCCCTCTGGCCCTCCAGTGTGCAACTTCAACGGACGCCTCTTCTTAGGGAGATGGAGGCTCTCCCCCCAACTACATTGATTCCTCTTCATCGACGCAACTTCAGTGCACCGTCTTCATTCTCTGACCCCTCCTGGACCGACAAAGGGGCACCCCACTGTGCTTTACCCCAAGTTCTACTCTGATACCATTTGTCACGTGCCTAGAGATTTGGCGCAGCGGCACGGCCCGTGCGGCACCAAGGCGTTGCTTCAGCTCGCGCAAGCGCCCTGGTCAGCCACCACGACCTGCCCTTCCAAGGATACATGCTGACTGGTTTCAGCCTGCCTTGGCCTTTTCAGGGGAACGACTCTAGCTCCCGACCAGTTTGTGTAGGGATGGCTAACTCCCTTCTTCATAGTCAAGTCCACGACCAGCGACAAGCTCCTCGCACTCAACCGAGTCGACTTGCCTGAACTTTGAAGAGGTTCCATCCTGTGCTCCTGCACGCCCCTTCCCTGGAACCATTCCCAGTCAAACTCTGCTCTTTGCCAACCAGCATGCGTGTCTTCCATCCTCCAAGCGTCTTAGGAATCACTTCGTGACATTATGCTCACTGTCCTATGTGTCGGTGGTGTTGGTGGTTTTGTTTCATTGTTTTCGTTCCTACTATAATTGGGACTTCTTGTACACTTATTCATTATTTATACACAAGCTTACCTTTTAACCAAAAAAAAAAACTTAATTGTAACCAATTATTTTTATAAAAGTCTCCCTCTCTTATAAAATATTACCTATCTTTTAATAATCTCAATTTTTTTTTTTTGACTACATGACTCAGTCCATTAAAACTTTAATTAGCTTCCAATGTCACTTAAAATATCATTTTCTTATATAATCGGTTATGCAAAAGTAGTTTCGATAAAAATAATAATAATAATAAAAGCTAGAAAATGATGAAAGAAAGAAAAAAAGAAAAAAACATGATAAATGTCATCTAAATTTTTGATAGATTATCTAAAATTATTTGATCAGATACATTTTTCAATTGAAAGTAGGTAATCAAATTTGGTCTCATCAATTTTCCTAACGATTTAAAGTCCATTGATAAGAGGAAACAACTATCAAGGTGTTGTTTAAGACCGGGCATGCATGGAGAAAACTAAAAATGGAATTTTTGATATGGGTGTTTTCATCTATATATAAATCAACCATGAGTACAAGTTTGTTAGAGAAAATAAAGAAGACAATACTACTTAAATTAAGTTGTAAATAACATCAAGTAAAGGTAAATTATACTTTCCACTCCTTTAGTTAAGATTTATTACACTTATTCCCTGTATTTTGGATAATTATAATTAATTCCATTCTAGTTATATGTGGGAAACAAATCTCTCCTGCAATTAGTTTCACTAATTATAGTAAGAGATGGTCAACACTGATGTGACATGTTTTTTAACTTCTTTGACAAATATGTCCTTTAAATTTCTACGAAGACACTTATGCCTAATGATTCTTGAGCAAAAATATATATAATATCATGGCATTTTTGTTAATCTAATTTTTTTTAGTTAGGGGTATAATTGTCTTTTTACACAACAAGTATTAAGCAAAAGTGTTTTCACATAAATTTAAAGGGCAACATTGACTTTCTTTGAACCATAGTGAAAATAATAGTAGGAGTCAGTTTGTTACACATGTAACTATAAGAAAGATAATTATAATTATCTAAAACACAAGTGCAGTAAGTACTAAGTATAATAAATCACAAGGTACTAAAGAGCCTGTAAGTATAATTCTCTCGAAGGAAGAAACCAAGGACATACCTATGCACCCTGGGCTCTCTGGGGCCATCGCACACACTGAATTTTTGTAACTTTCATTTCACACCTATAATTTTGTAAACATCATAATAATATCCTACAAAATACTAACTAAAAACTCTATATATAAATTCATTCCCACTAAGTTTTAAGTGTTCAAACTCACTCTTCTTAGGAGGCGAAGCCAATTAAGCCCAGAGGAGGCACATGCCCCCATGACCTGGCTCCACCATCTATATATATGAGGCAAAAAAAAATTTGTAATTTTTTTTCTTAGATTTTGCACTTATAGTATGTTGTAACTTTGTTTTTCCATTGAGCTTAAATTTTATAAAGTCAATGGGTGTAATTTCATGCAAAGACCTAATGTATTCAATTAAAATATTACCCAATAATTTTGTAAGTTAAAATTGTTTAATTATTTATTTTTCTTATACTACTAATTGATTATTATATTTTTTTTAAATGATTTTTTTTTTCTTTTTCTTTGACCCATGATTTGAAGGTGCAATAAATTTTCTTTTTTTACACTGCACCCCAGAATTGAAATCCTGGCTCCACCTCTACTTTTCTCACACTCAAAATTTTGTACTCTCTAGGCCTCTTCTCAGAGTTACCCCTAACCCATCAATGACTCTCTCTCTCTCTCCCTCTCTTTCTCATATTATAACTATTGAATTTGTTCAAACTCACTCCTCTCACCCTCAAATATTTGCTAAAAACTCTGTATATTTTGTTTAAGAGTTTTTTATTTGATTTTGTTATAACTAGATAATACGATCACTGAAAACCAAGTGAGTTTCCGAAAGAGAGATTGACGTTTCATTAGTTCATGGACTTGTGTATTTCTTTTTTACTTTGATAATTTTCATTGGTTTGGGAAATTGAGGGTTTATTTATTATTATTATTATTATTTTTTAAGGGTAAGTCAAATTTATTCAACGAAATAGCAAACAAAACCTAAGTCACATAGAGGGGTAGTGGGAGCGCCAGAGCGGCATATACCAAAATTTTTTATAGCGGGAGCGCCGCTAGAGCGCCGCATTATAAATATATAAAATATTAATTTATAATAATAAATATATGTTTTAAATAAATTTCATGCAAATAAAAAGACAGCATAGTGAATCAAATATGAGTCCATTACAACCAATATAACCTGCTTTATAAAAATGCATAAATTAACAAACATGACAATTAAACAAGCTGCTTTATAAAAATAAAAACATAATAGTGAATAGGGCATAACAGAAAAAGAAATTTTCAAAAGTATTATCTTTTATACATTTAACCTGCTTTAAGCTCTCAAGATGACAATCAATATCTTTGAAATAGCAATGTTCAAAAGCAAAATAATCTACTGCTAAACTTTAAAACAGACATGAAATATCCAAACTTCCAAACCCAAAAGTTAATGAAAGTAGGCTACATCAGTATTATCTAATGAAGGTAAGTTACGTAAGTATTATTAAATATTAAGTATATTGTTATATAACTTACATTATTTGATTTTTATCTATAAAGGACAGAGTTTACTTAATTAAACTAAATTGATTACTTTTTGACATAATTAACCTTATTTGGTCTATTTAAGTTGGGGTAAAATCAAAATTTCTCAAGATTCACACTAAATTCGTGAATTTATTATCAAAAGTCGTCGAATTCTTGAACAAAATACGTGATTTTACCTTACACAATTCGTCGAATTGAACTTTAAAAACCGGCAAATTCTTAAATTAAATTCGTGAATTCAAAATTATGAATTCGCGAATTCAAAAACATGAGAGTGTGAATTTTTGGCGAATTCGCTTTCAAAACGCCAATTCGCGCGTGGAGTAATGGAACACCAGTAGTTTGAGTGAATTATGTGACTTAGAACAAAACTGGCTACAAACAAAACAGGTTACCAAAAGGCAGCCCAACACAACAATAAGAAAATAAGGCCATAAGGCCTAACACAAACTCGAAGGTATAACCACCTCCATATTACAATACAGAGGCAAAACCAAAGAGAGAACACAGAGAGCAAGAGTAACACAAAGAGTATCATTTAGCTATCAGAATTGGTGCTTTCAATAACCAGACTAGGAAGTCTCCAATCAGCAGCCATAATCCGAGAAATCCTCGAATCTTTGAACCTCAAGGAGAGCAGACGGCATCGGATGTAGTCCTCAATGAGCTTCCAAACAACCTGAGGCGAGGAGAATTTACCGGCATAGGTACGTTTGTTCCTCTCTTTCCATATGAAGTAAATAGTCGTAGAGAAGTAAAGTCTAGCTGTTATAGCATCCATAGAGTTATAATTGTCATTCCATACATTCTCAATCCACCTTGCTATAAAAGTTTGACTAAGCTCACCACAGTAAAATCTACATGTATGTTGAACATAATTCCAAATATAAGTGGAGTAACTGCACTTAAAAAACAGATGTTCATGTGTTTCATCTTCACTTCGACACAAAATGCATAGGTTAGAATCACCATCACTACTGTGACCTGTGAAGAACCTATCTTTGGTATAGAGTCTGTTGTGAAGAGCAAGCCAAGTAACAAAGGCATGCCTAGGAATGTGTTTTGAGAACCAAATAATGTTGGTACAAATAGACAACGGAGCAGGGGGGAGTAGAGCATTGTAAGCCTGCTTTAAACAAAATTTACCTGTAGGAGATAAGGTCCAAACCACCTTATCTCTACTGCCAGTATTGATAGGAGGTGCTATATCAACCATGCTAGTTAAGGTCCAGAAGAGAGGAGGAAATCTCCGTTGACATTGTCTCATAAAACACTTCACCTTGGAGTTAGCATCCCACATTGAATTGGAAATAACCTATCAGCTTATGATTTTGTGTTTCATGCTTGGGAATTTTTTTTTTCCTTAGTAATTTTCCTTAACCAGATTTAAAATTTTCAAAAATAAAGATAGCCAGAAAAGGTAAATTAAAATAAATCATGATATTAAATAATATTATCAACAAACAAATAGGTAGATGTAAATGTGTTAAAAATTAATGTTTTGCTGTTCAACACACTAAATCGGGCTGAAATAGATAGATATTAATGTGTTAAAAACATATATAATTGTGTTGAAAAGCTCTGCAACACAACTACATAGGTGAGATTACATTTATGGTAGAGGTTCCAAACAGTTGCAATCTTTTGGTGTGTGTGTGTGTGTATATAATAACTTCACAGATAGCTAAAAATCCACCCCAAAAAAATAAAATAAAAAAAATCCTAAAACCAGCCCAAATTAAATCCATTCTTAATATTGCCCTTAAAAGTCCTAAACCAGCCCAACTATTTGCTTTGCTTTGCTTTAAGTAAGGGTGAAAAAGGTAAACAAAATTACTTAAATTTAAATAGTAATATGAAGTGATGATTAATCCTTTATCTACTACACATTTCCTGCAAAATCGAGACAAACCCGCATTTACGTACTTTCCTATTTGGCAATCAGAATTAAACTGTCACCATTACTTTTATGATATGCAATTAGCATGCATATACCACTCTCCAAGCATCGTATCAGATATGTTTCTATAGCATCACATCATTAGTCCGAGCACTATATTAGGCATTTGGAGGGGGTGAAATAGTATTTACCCAAAAAAAAAAAAAATTGTTCTTTTATGCAATTCTATTTGTATATAATATGACAATCCGTTTTTATTACTGATTAATATCATCAATAATTGAAATAAACATCTTAATTGTATTTTATTTTATTTTTTAAATAATGCTTTTATGAGGACCCTCTTATTAGAAGAGTATCGAGCTCTTTTTACCTAATCATTTTTTTTTTTTAATATGTGAAAAGTCAAAAAAAATTATTTAATATATCTTTTAATCCAATGATTGAATAGGGAGAATTCGTAACTCTTCTAGTGTCCTCCTAAAATCATTATTCTTATTTTTAAATGTTCTTAAGAGTACTCTTTGGTACCTCCATCCTTTGGAGTCGCTCAAAAACACAGAGGGACCGGTTTTTTTTTTTTTTTTTTTTTTTAAGCATCACTCCAATGGAAATAGAATTCAAATCAAGTGAACGCACAGTAAATGAGATTGATCAGACTTGACCATGAATGGCAATACGTCCTCTTACCCATGTTTATTTCCTTTCCTTAACATGCTCCCGGTAGAAGATTTACCACCCATCATTCCCACTTGTAGACACTAAAATTTTAGTGGGCTTTGATTTTGACAAATGGACCCATTAAATATGAATCTAATGTTTAATTAAGTTATTTAATTGGCTCAAGCTTGGTCCACTTAAATTATTTAATTAGCTCAGCTCAGATGGTTAAATAAAAAGATAATTATTTCTAATAAAATATATATGGAATAATTATTTTTAAGGATAATTATCATAATATAACCGGCCCCCGGCCTAGTTATTATTTTATCCTTATCAGGAGATGACACATGTCATCATCCTATTAATTCAAGAAAGCCTATAAATAGAGGCCTGGATGAAGGAGGAAGGATACAGGCAAATTCAGAGTTCAAAAATCCAGAGACTAGGAAATCCAGAAGGTCCAAAAATTCAGAAACTCAGAAATCCAGAGGGCCAGAAATCCCTAGGGCAACCCTAAAGGAGAATAACACCAAGTATATCCGAAGACGTGCCATTCTTCCTCAAATTCAACAAAGGACACAAATTCAGAATTCAGAAGTCCAGAAATTCAGACACAAATTCAGAAGTCCAGAAATTCAAACACAAATTCAGAGTCCAGAAATTTAAAGACTTAGAAATCCAGAAGGTTCAGAAATTCCAAACCTGAATGTGAAGAACAACAAGCACATCCAACGACGTGCCGTTCTTCATCAAATTCAACAAATCCTCTTTGAAGACGAAGAACAACAAGCACATCAAATCATGTCATTCTTCATCAAATTCCACGGTGATCAACAACAAGCACATTTAAAGACGTGCCGTTCTTCATCCAAATTCCACGGTGATTCAAGATCAAGCTCGTGCAACCCTTGGATTCAACCAACTAAAAAGGAGATCGAATTAGAGGACCTTTCTTTTTGTAAAGAATATTACGAAGGATTGTATTCCATCATTATCAATTAATAAAATATTTTATTTGCCCCTATTTTGTTTCGTATTTGCAGACATACAAAATTTGTGTGTACAAATTTCTGGCATGCCCGGTGGGACATCCTCTGCCTCTCATCTTTTTTTCTAATATCAAATTCTCAACAAATTTATCGCAAATTCTATGATTTCCAACAAAATTCAGACGAAGAGTAAGAATACCCCCAAAGACATCGCTGTCATGACGGACAACATCAACACTACCACAAAAGGTGGCAAGAAGGTTGCAACTTCGTCAAGTGGTACAAACAACTCTGCACATTCAATGATGTGGAGCATGGTCAAATCATCCGTTCCTACTAAAAGACAGCACGATCTGATGAGAGTCAATTTCGCCAAATCTGTCAAAGTACCAACTCAAACTCATACCATCTTCACCTTACTGGGGGCAAGGAGGAAGGTTCCAACAACCTCAAAGGTTGCTCCAGTCACAAGTTCAAGTTCCACCTTGCTGGGGGCAAGGAGGAAGGTTCCAACAACCTCAAAGGTTGCTCCAGTCACAAGTTCAAGTTCCACCATGCTGGGGGCAAGGAAGAAGGTTCCTACAACCTCAAAGGTTGCTCCAGTCATAAGTTCAAGGCTGGTTCACCCAAGGCTAAAGATTTTTTTTGACTCTATCATTATGCAAGTCATGATGACGAGTGCTACCTCGTATGAAGAGCAATTGATGACTATGGCCTGTGCAATTAAAAGATTACAACACTCTCTCAAGGAGCAAGATCTAAAAATTGCCTCGCTGATAGAAAAGTTAAAATTAAGTGACGACAATGCTGAGTCAAGCAAAGGTTGAATTCCTCATTCTAATTGCATGCTAGAGAACACTCTAATTGATGATCAAAATGACGTGTCCGCCAATCCAACAATTGATGTTGCCTCTGTTACCTTACTTTCTGTCCAACAACTTCAAGACATGATAGTGAATTGCATAAGAGAACAATACAATGGCGTCCCTCAAAGTGCTCGCATGTTCTCAAAGCCTTACACAGAAAGAACTAACATTTTAAAAATAGCGGTTGGGTATCACCCTCCAAAGCTTCAACAGTTTGACGGAAAACGTAATCCCAAGCAACATGTCGCACACTTTGTAGAGACTTGCGGCAATGTTGGTACAGAAGGAGATCTCCTTGTCAAGCAATTCGTTTGTTCCCTCAAAGGGAATGCATTTGATTGGTACATAGACCTTAAAGCTGGAGGTATTGACAGTTGGGAGCAGATGGAACGAGAATTTCTCAACCGTTTCTACAGCACTCGTCGTACTGTTAGCATGCTGGAGCTTACAAATACAAAACAAATGAATAGTGAACCCGTGGTTAACTACATCAACCATTGGCGAACTCTAAGTCTTGACTGCAAGGATCGATTAGCTGAAATTTCTACAGTTGAAGCATGCATACAAGGTATGCGCTTGGAGCTTCTTTACATCCTATAAAGGATTAAGCCTCACACATTTGAAGAGCTTGTTACTCGAGCCCACGACATGGAGCTTAGCATGGAAAATCATGGTGCTAGAGAAGATGTTCCTGATATATCCGATAACCTCCAAGAAGATGAGAGAAGTGAGTCCGAAGAAGAAAACAATATATTTCCTAACTCGGATGATGAAATAACGTCATCTTTCATTATAAGCATCATCTCAAAAGACTTGCATCTAGAAACGCACCATGTTACAACAATGACTTCAACCGAAAGTGCAAAATCACAAGGGGCATTAAGTCAAGGAAACCAAGAAAAAAAATCCTTAAAGTGATGCCGAGATAGTCCATACCCTTCAGCATAAACTTGGATTGTCGTCTGACTCTTGCAAAGTTGAAGAAAGTTATTAAAGTTGATGATGCTCCCAGATACGAGCCTAAACTATCGATGATGCTCCCAGATACGAGACTAAACTGTCGATGATGCTCCCAGATACGAGCCTAAACTATCGAAATGCTCCCAGATACGAGCCTAAACTGTCGATGACACTCCTTGACACGAGTTTAAACTATCTACCTAAAAAAAAAAATCAAGAACTCCTTGATACGATTTTAAATTGTCTCCTAAACAAAAAAATGACACTCCTTGACACGAGCTTAAACTGTCTACCTGAAAAAAAAAAAAAAAAAAAAGATTAACACTCCTTGATATAAGTATAAACTGTCTATCTGAAGAAAAGAAAACAACACTCCTTGACACGAGCTTAAGCTGTTTACCTAGAAAAAATTGACACTCCTTGATATGAGTATAAATTGTCTATCTGGAAAAAAAAAAAAAAAAAACAACACTTCTTGGCACGAGTATAAATTGTCCGCCTGAAGAAAAAAAAAATTATCAAGAACTCCTTGATACGAGTTTAAACTGTCTCCCTAAAAGAAAAAAAAATGTCTGTATTGAACTACATGATAACTTGATCCCTCTTTTGAGGGTACGTAGACAGCTTTGAATTTTATTCTAAGTTCAGTATGACGCTAAAAAAAAAGAAGAAAGAAACTCCTTAGAGTTGCAAAATGGCATAGTGTGCTCGTCACATGATATCAAAAGGGCTAGTCGTAATTTGTCATCTTCACTTGTTATCAAGATATTATTGCCACTCATCATGCAATATCAAAAGTGCTCGTCGCACCCTGTCAACTTGGCACGCCACCGAATTG